GAGATTTCCCAATAAGGTGAGGGGGGAGAGAAAATAATAAAGGATATTTTGGTATCACCTAACTAGCAGTCATCTTTGATCACACATGACACCACTCCAGTCAAAATAGTGCACACATCTCAAAGCAATGCGAAACAATACAAATCAATCTAGGAACGGTTACGTCTTGAAGCGATGCAGCTTGACTCAAAAGCGACACCACTCGTCTCCGAAGCGGTGCGCTACAAATCCACGCCATTCAGAATCAAGTGATGCTTGCTAGTAATGATATAACCCTACAAGGCATGGGGTTGGAAGGGTGGCCCCAGAATAGACAAATCGCTCGTAAGAAATATCAGCGGACGCCAGCAAGCATAAGGAGAGTTGACTCCCTATGAAAGGTATAAAAACCACCCCTAGGTAGATATCGGGGGACAGGATTTACTATCTATAACAACTGACTTAAGCTACGAATGGGTCAAGCCAGAATTCCTCTCTCTGGTGTTAACCTATTGTATAGGGACTCGGGACCAGAAGCCCCTCGCGGATTCGTCGGAGAACACCCTAAGAGACGACAATCATGGCTCTTTGTCCCTTTTCCGTGAAGTCTTCCTTCTGAGTAACAACACAAACGATCTTACATAATCAGAACCGAACCAAAGCCATGCCCCTTCCTAAGCCACGGTATAAAGAATCACATCACAGCCCGAGTAAAAAAATTATATTTAAAGACTCTTGAGGTATACTTCCTACTTCTACTCAGGTGCATAGTTTTCTCGATAAACAATTTGATCCTTGTTGTATCTACCACCATCCCTTTGATCTCACGAAACACATCTTCTTCGAATGTTCCCATACTTCCTCCCATTGGCCTTTCTTTCGAGATAAACTGAATTACTATTTCACCGGCTTGGTTGATTGGCCCGATGGTTCTGGGCTTCAGGGTTACTATTTCACCCGCTTGGTTGATTGGCCCATTAGTTCTGGGCTTCAGGAGAGGCAATCCCCTTATTGCTATATTTCTTTGGCAATAGAGGCTTGACAGAAACAATTAATTGTTTCACAATTTTGGGGTTCAATCGTTCTCCATCAAGTCTACAGCCTTGGCTATGCTGAATAAAAATCAACTCTCCCTTTCATCCACAACCCTATCCAATCAAGATTTTGATTTTATAATATTTGTTTTACTTTGATCTCTTGTTTACTCCAGATTCTATTTTCCGTTTCTCACTCTGAGACAAGATAGGTAACATAGCCATGTCAAGCAATTAGGCCTCAACAATTTATAGGTTCCCTTCAACTCACAATAACTCATTAACTACATGGCATTAACACCATCATCACAAATTGCCCTTGTGTTGCTTCTTTAACCAAAGTCCGATGAACAATCACATCATAACCACACTATCAAGAAACATCTTTCTTTTTCTTCAAAAAGTTTTGTTCTCTAATCTATTGGATCTTCCAATAGGATTCAAATCAAGATGAAGTTATGGTCAATTGTTAGAGAGAAAAACAAATTGATTTTTATAGGATTTTCAATAAATTCTTTGATTTCTTTTGGATTATTCATTTGGTTCTCACATTTTAGATTAATTGAGATATCGAGGAAGATAAAAAAAAATTGATATGATTATATTTTTGTTCCATTTGAAGAAAGGAAGGATCCAAGGAATCAATTTTTCATTTCGTTATTGAACTTCTGTTTAATCTAAGACTCAAAATTTTAAAACCGATGCACTAGCTATCTATGTGATGGGAAAATACTAACATTAGCCTCCACATGATAGTTGGCCTACCAGTTCACCGCCACTCGGATGCTGACATGGGAAAAGAAATGCCCACATCCTCTTTCCCAATGACAGACGATAGGATAGTAACCCTTTGCCCTACCAGATCGTAGTTTTAGGGTATAGGCCGACCATCACAGAGCAATAACTCTCTAGCGACAAGGCTTATCTACTTTTTTCTCAGTCGACTAGCATAGTCGATCGCCATCATTGACAAACGGTGCCACCGTAGTGGTCCTCCGCTGATGATGCACCACAGGAGAACATATCGTCTTGCCATCTGAGTAAATGAGCCCCAGGAGGACATACGGGTCCGTGCCCATCTGGCATCTATCCCCTCTCGTCAAATGCCCAAGTATAAAAGCCAATCCCTATGACTATAAGGGAGGGAGAAGAAAGCTTCTACTGTTCATACCCCCCCCACACCTATGAACTTTACTATTAGAGAGATCGGGTTAGAAACTTCCCTTGACACTAATCGTTTGTGTAAGATCCTAAAGGGAGCCAAAACATTTCTCAGTTCATCTCTAGAACCCCGAGGAGGCCCTGATCACCTTGGCCCGACTTGGAATCCACCTTGGACATATAAGGACCACCTCGAGATCACTTCAATTAGACCTTCCCCAATTCCAATCGCCTGTCACACCGTTACACAAGCCATCGGGATGAGCTTATACCTTTCGAATAGAATCAAGTTATGTCAACCCCCGGTCAACAATATCAAGGTAATAACACTATTCTATTTCCTAAACTTACACTCTTAAAACTCAAATATTTACCTGATGCACTAGCTACCTATATCGATGCTAGATCCCTTCTTTTGTTGCCTCTTTCGATATCTCTATTTCGACATCTCTATTATTAATATCGAAAGAATACTTTTTTTCTTTAAAAAAATTGACAAGCATGAAATAATATAACTTAGAATACTTAAATTTGGATTTATAATTATATGCACAAGATATTTTATAGACAATTTCAAGTATTTGTAAACATTAAACGTGGGTCTAAACTAGAGTTCTATAATTTTTCTAACGTAAAGAATTGAGGTCTTGTTCTGGGTTGAAATATAACACTCGATCAAGTCACGATATGGTATAGCTTCATAATGAAATTCTAACTCTATCCATTACTTACCATGCTCAATAATAAATAGACTTTGATACTATCGATCTGATACAAAATTATTTAAGCCAAAGATTATAGTAATACATATGTAGTTATGTTATATACCTTTATGTTGTGATCCAAGAATTGATACGATTTGGTCTTATCCTAAAAATGCAAGATCGTCGAAGTTATTTACCGAGGGGAAAAAGGATGGGGAAGCAAGATTAGGCTATGGAGGTCGGCTTTCGGGGTTACGATCGAACCTTCGAGGGCATCCCAAGGTGGAGCCAAGCGATGTTTGGTCTACGTCGGGATCCTGCAAAATAGGCCAATGCTAGGAAAGGTTCATGACTCGAGCCCTATTAAGTTAGTGAGTATAGATATATTATTTTCAATTCCTTCTCCCGGAATAAGGAATCAATATTTATACCTGTGGAGATGATCAGGAAGTATAATGGTTGATAATGATCGCCAATACCTACCGTGCACCCCTTGTGGCACGGGTCGACCCGTCCGAGCTCGAGACATGCCCCTAACCCATACAATCCTATGCGACATGGAATCGGGCAGAGGGGCATTGATTGCCAGATCAATTTTCTTCTGCGTCAAATAGATATCGGATCATGTTCCACATCGGCTCCACGTTGACTCTACCTCTGGTTGGTGCGAAAATATTTCCTATCGAGTTCTTATTGAATAATTCAAGTGCTTTCGAATAAGAAAACTATCATCAATAAATATTTGTCTCGCATGAGGGAAGAAGAGGTACTATGATTTGGACGTGAAGGCATTCCGGGTAGTCAACATCAATTCTGATGTGTTGAACTTGTGTTGACCGGCCATTCCGAAGACTGCGGATACATACACCGGGGAGCTTCTCCCGCAAACCTACCCGCGGGGCTCGAAGTAGATGTTGTCTGAGAAAGGTAGGGGCAAGGTCCGAGAGGGTATGACGTTGGGGAGAACGTTTGGTGCCCGGAACAAAACGAAGAACGCATGACGTCGGTTGGGCCCGCATTCCCAAAAGTCCAAGCGCACGCTTCACGTCCCCGTTTCTTCACCCGACCCGATTCCCTCACCCTTAGGGCCCGAGCCACGGAGCGAATCCGAACCCGAGCCCGAAAAAGATCACGCATCAAGAATCCCGCCGGGGGACCGGTACGTACACCCCGAAAGTCCAACAGAGACCGTGGGCCACCACCCTCCTGCGCACCTTCTCCCGCAGGAATATGCGCCCATGGGACCCATCCCTCGTTTCCCCCGCATTTACGAGGGGCGGTGCGCTGTGGTGGCGACTTCTCCAGGTGCGCGTACGGCCCCCCAGTAAAAAAAGAGCGGAGATCGACCGAGCGAGAGGTCCACTGACGAAACCGTATCCGAATCCCACACGTGGCGCGTCCTCACCCGTTCTTTCGAATCCCCCAGCTTTCCGCGGGTCCCACTCTCCTTCCCAGGACATCTTTAAATGACCGTCTCTTCCGTGCATCTTCCCGCACGATTACTCCTGTATGCGCAGTCTTTCGGATCGTCCATATGGATCAAGATCAAATTGAACGGCGAGCAGCACCAGATTACACGTGCGTTTTCCCGCATGGGGAGGGGCGTCACCGACGAATGGCGCTTCGGACCGGTCACCGGTCACCCCTCCCGTGTTCTTTAACCGGTTATCTCGCCCACGGTCGCCACCGACCCACTTGCCCCCCCGTGTGTTCCCCTCCCCCGCGGACCACGCTTAAGCACGGCTCCCTTCTTCTCTTCGGTCCCATCCAACCGTCGGTTTGATTACATCGGATGGACGGGATCAGCAGGCGACCAGCGTTCGTACGCCGCGAGTCACTTTAAAGTGGTTTCACGAAATAGTCTCGTGAGTATTATAATTAACGTGCAAAGCTTACTTTACGGCCGGATTATATACAACTAATCGACGTGTTTAATTATTACCACGATATTTCTCGCATGTAGCTCCGTTCGCAGTGGTGTCGACATGCGTCCGATGGTTTACGTGGGTAAGTTTAGACGGTTGGATGGGGCATGCAATGGATGGAGCTGCGAGGGAGGCGGCGTCGGTTATCGTTCGGTTTACTTCGCGGGTTCGTCAGCTCGCACGCTGGATCGATCGATCTCGCGGTAGGGTGAAAAGAGAGAGGAGGAATCGGATGGCTGGTTGCTATTTCCTCTCTTCATTTGTGGAGAGGAGAGCGCTTCCGCTTCTACTCCTCTTCGTCCTATCGAACGCTACCCCTTCCCGTCGCCTTTGTTCTCCGCTCCTCCGTCCCGTCCTTAGCCTCTTGTGTGATCGCAGGTGCTGGAGTCTGAGGTGGGTCGTCGGCGGGAATGGGAGCTCCGTCGGGGAGCGCTCGGTGATGGCGGGGAAGGGATGTAGTACGTGAGTGCCGGGACGCAGCTACGCGGCTCTGCCAGGGCCGTCACTGAAGCGCCAACGTTGTCGCGACGGGGCTTAATGAAGGTCGGATTAGGGTTTCTTCGATCCTGGAACCTGTAGCAATGCTGCGAGTTGTCGTACTTCGGATTAGTTCATATGGAAGGGTGACATAGTTGGGATTTTGATCGTGGATGTGGAGCTCTCGGCTTGATCCTCTGTGTTTCTTGCACTTCCTTTGGAATTTCCGGTTCTTGCATGAAAATTTGCCGAAATGAGACGATTTTTAAGGTTTCGAATCATATCTCTTATGATTTCAATTGCTCGGAAAGTTTATTATTGATAGGTTGCTCTATTTGATGGAGCTTGCTCTTACCATTTGATGATTTATGCTGCTTCTGATCTGCCTTCTACTATATAGTTTTTGGTATTTGGGCACTATGGGTCTACATTAATGTGATAGGGTCATTCTGACATCTATTTGGCATTTGTCATTTATTATTCTGCTCTTGTTTTATTCTGGTGATTCGATCACTCAATCCATGACTTATGTCACAACTAGCTTTTGGAACTCCAAACCATTTAGGTTTTGCTTGGCCATGGCGTGGGATCCATTCTAGTGGTGAATGTTGGAAGTGCCGAGTGTATCTATGGCATCTCTGGAACATTCTTTCTCAGTTTAGGTTTTGCTTTATCGACAGGCAAATGTCCTATTGCGGCAGTTATAACGTTCTCTGCTCTGTTCTTCTTTCTCTTACCGCTTCTCCATTATGCAGCTTCGTAAATGTAAGCAATTTTTAATTATCGGGTAAGCTGCTATGAAGCATAGGAGAGCAATCTAAAAGCTGTGTACTTTTTATAATGTGGCAGAAGCAATGTGGAAAACGAATATGAGAGGAAGGGACCCCGTGGAATCTGGACCTTACCCTGATCGGCCAGGAGAACCAGACTGTGCTTATTACATCAGGACTGGCCTCTGTAGATTCGGGATGACCTGCAAATTTAATCATCCTCAGAATAGGATGTTGGTAATGAGAATGCCTGTGACATTACATCCGTTGAACTCTACAATCTGATATCAGAATATTGTCCATTCTTCCTTTTCAATCTCTTTTTTTTTGTGCCAAGCATAATATCAATTTTCTAGATAGGCTTGCACTGCAGAGTCAGACAAGTGAGTTTGCTTCTGTTTTTCTTTGTTCTGATCAGAAAATCTGTTTCAAGTTGTGTGACTAGGAACTTTTTTCTGTTGCTTAGGAGTTAGTTGTTTAAATTTAGGCATACTGTTTGGTTTAGCATGCATGGTTTAGTTACCAGTTTGAACCTACCATCCTTTGCTATCTGCTGCCCTTTGTAGTAGACATAGGTGCAATGAATTATTTATACATCATAGTTCTCTGTCCTTCTCATTGCTTGAGATTGATTTGGTAAATAAATACATCTTTGGGAAAATTTCATTGACACCTTCAACTTAAGTGCATTCTTGCTTTTTTTTTTTTGTTAGTTTTGAGAAAATGGATCAGTTTTTTTTAATCCACCTAGCTCCTGAACTTTGTTGCCTGCTTTTTATTTTTTATTTTTCCACTTTGGAGATCAGACACTTCCCTCTTTGGATGTGTTAGCAGATTTTTGCCTGAATGGAGGTTTACTGAAATAAGAAGAAAAAGGAGTCAGTTAAATGGCAATGTTTCAACAGAAGCTGTTTGATTTCATGATACTATAAAATAATCAGGACATTTAAGACTTGCTATGCACATCCAATTTGGGTCCGAAGACATGGATGGACCCATTTGCGGGACTAAACACACAGTAAACATGGTTTCTAACATAATTATTCTTTTCTAAGCTATAATGTCCTTGCTAAAATAAGAGTTCAAATATAGGTACTGGGTGCATGGACTTCCATATTCTAATCCTTGCAGCCTTACTAGAAGAAGGCTTTCATCACTAGCTCTATGATTGTGCATGTCATCATCCTAAAAAGGGCTAGAATCCCAGTGTCTGATGGTCATATTCATGGACATGTGGTTTCATTACCATTCATGACAATTCAAGTTCCCAACTGAATTGTCTTAATAAAAAATTATAGCCATTTTCCTTGCGTTTACATACGAACAGATCAATTATAGGAAAAAGCACATGCTGAGACATACCTAATGAATCACAAAATTTAAGATATGGCATGCTTTGAAATTCTTAATTTTGTTTTCTCTGTTATGTTCTAACTTCTGACAATCTACAACTGCTTATGGATCATATAAAGATTCCAAGTCTCTACACAGAGATACATGACAGGATAACTATATTATTTTTGCTGGAAAGATAACGGGTTAAAACTTGATATATGAATAAAAAAATCAAATTATCTGAGGATGTTAAGCTATGAAATGAGTAAAACTATGGTTACTGAGCATGTAGATAAAGTAATTATTCAGTTACTGTCATTCAAAATATTCATCAAAAACTAAGTCTGATGTACCCATTTTTTTATGAAAATGTAGAGCATTGCCTGCTGCCATATGGATTTGTACAAATGTCTAAATTCTTATTCATGTTTGTCTTCATACTTATTAATAGTAATTGATGTTTGTATGATAAAGTATTATCTTTAGGGAGCAGAGACCATGCTAATCAAAGTTTAACACTCTTACTTGTCATTCATCTATTGTGTTGTGGCTGAATCTGAAATGTTTCAGTAGGTAGCAAAGAAATCTCCGGCTGTTTATGTTTTGATCAAAATGGTAAGATGAAGTCAACCTGGTACAGTTGAACAATTTCAGCCTATTTCAGTTATGTTAATATCAACCCAGATTTGTCAGAACTAAGTTTAGCCACATCCGAAATTTGTTATCCATCCTAGTTCTCTGGTTAGGCTTTCTCTTACATACTTCTCCTCCAATTCCTGTCTTTTATCTGGTTCCTGCTTGAGACCTTCAAAGAACTAAATTGAACAATTCTCTGAAAATTTTTCTTGAGGGAAAGCATTTGTTTGAGTTGAATGTAAATTTTCTTTTGAAATATAAATATTTTGTCTTATTTGAGATAGAGCTCAGGATAGCAGAACCAAAATTTTATCTTGCATTTTGGATCATTTGTTCTGGATCTTGGCAAGCAATGTTTAGTGCAGCATTTTAGTCAAAAGACTCTAAACTTCCATCAAATGCTGCCATCATGGAAATGAAGAAAAGGACTAATAGCAAGCTATAGAGTATAGAGAGAAGAAAGAATGTATGTCACTATAACTAATAATGAAATAGTGCCTACTGTCATTCTGCACTTGTTATCATAGTGTGCTGGTATTTTGTGCAGACTCTTCTGCATCCTTTGTTGAATTGGTAAATAATTTACCGTTAATATGCTTGTTCCACCATCCCTCTTCTTTTTGAACAGGAATGTGGTCAAGATACTCGTGATTAAGATGTTTAGGTTAATTGGATTATTTGGTGAATATTCATGTACTTAAATCATATTTTCGATTAATAACTTGTCTCTTCTACCATGTTTTTATCAATTTAAAACCACTTTTACATTTTCTTGGATGCCCCTATTTAATAGACTTCCAGTATACTTGATGGCTTGAATTAGGTTTCGTTAAATTTCAGGCTATTGCAGCTGCAAGAATCAGGGGAGGGTATCCTGAAAGAGTCGGCCAGCCTGAATGTCAGGTGAGACTTTGTATCACACTAAGAGTTCTATTTTGTTTTATTCTCTGTGTACTTTAATGCATGTGGCATTAGTGAATTGATAATGCTAAAATTTGATGATTCATACTGAACTGTTATTGGTAACATTACCTAGTGCCTTTGTTATATAATTTTTTTTTTATCCTTCTTGTTTTGTTGTCTTCTGTGATGCAACTTTTTTGCTCGAGCATTTATTAGGCTTGTATTGTAAACTTCTTTCATTTTCTTACTGGACGAAGTTGATGGATTAATGGTTCAATCTTTTCTTCCAAAAAAAAACACAAAAGAAAACATTATTTGTTTTTATCTCTTTGTTTCTTTCTACTGTATAAATAAAAAGTCAACTTCACTTGCTTTTGTTGTGCCATTATTAGCTATGGCCTTATGTCTTTGAAACACTCATTTTACTCTTTTTCAGTACTACTTGAAGACAGGAACGTGCAAGTTTGGATCTACATGCAAGTTTCACCACCCCAAGGAGAAGGCTGGAATTGCAAAACAAGCTCAGTTAAATATTTTAGGCTATCCACTACGTCCGGTTTGTGCTTGCTCTGGTCTTTCTGTTTCTTTTTCTGGTATTGTTGGATTTGTCATTGCCAAGTGGTAGAGCTGATTAAATAACTAAATATACCAGTTTTGTGCTCCTTTTTCCCTGTTCAGCTCTCTGAATTTTGTTAGTTAATTGGACATTGCATGATAGTTTATGATTTTGAATTGTAGAATGAGCAGGAATGTGCATATTATATAAGAACTGGAGAGTGTAAGTTCGGAAGTACATGTAAATATCACCATCCACAGCCATCTAATACAATACTTGCTCTACGTGGTTCTCCTATTTATCCATCTGCGCATTCGCCAACAACCCCCGGTCAGCAGTCTTATCCTGCTGGAATGACAAACTGGACCTTACCAAGATCTTCATATATTTCAAGCCCTCGTTGGCAAGCTTCTTCAAGTTATGCTCAGTTAATTCTTCCTCAGGGTGTGGTCCAAGTTCCTGGTTGGACTTCTTACTCTGTAAGTTGTCTCAGATTTCTTTCTTATTTCTATTGACTTTGTCAATGCTTAAGAATAAGAATCGTGAGATTTTATTCTGATTATCTAGAATGTACTTCTAACTTTTAAGCACTATTGTGCATGCATTATATTATGATTTTGATGTTCGATATCCAAATTTATCATGGCTATAAAGTAAATTAGAAATGCTAATGTATTTGAATGAACAACACAGAAAAACTTAATTGAACAGTGTCAACTCTTTATTTGTATGAACTATATGCAGTTCACAGAAGATTTTTAGGCATCAATTTGTCATGTCATTCTTGTGCTAACTAGTATCAATTTGTGGGTTTCCTTTTACTGGAGTCTTATTTTTAAAGCATTGAATAAGAAATGTTTGACCAAGAAGAGCTGTCCGCCAATATATTAGCAACAAGTAGTGGCATCTCAGGTCAGATTTGGTTGATGTACTAGTTCTAATTCAAGCTGCCATGTGGTCGTGTGATAGCCATGCCATCAGCATGGAGAAAAAAACCAAAAGGAAGTCCAAATACTTATTCGTTTACTTGCCATCACACACACAAAACAAAAAGAAAGCCACTTTCCTAATCCAGGACTTCCAGCTGCTAGAGGATTTGTCAACATGATAAGAGGGAGATGCTCCTCTTGTGAGTGCTGCTCCTAGGCTTGAGTGCTCTTCCAATCCGTACATTTAGGGCTTGAGCCTCAAAGAGCTATGGTTGATAAACCAATATGTCAGTTTGATCCATAATTTGATCCATGCATATTGAAGAAGTGTCGTTTGACAGAGACCACTGAAATTTACTGTTCCAACAAAAACCTCTAGTTTGTAGGTAACTCCATCTGAAACGTCTAATCACTGGTATAAACTTAGACCGGCATGTGCCACCTGTAGCTTGATGCATTACTTGATTAGTAAAACCCTAGAAATTACATAAATGTGAATTTATATAGAAGGTTATGGATGAGAGTAACTTGATTGGCATATTATAGGTTCACAATCATTTTTTTCATTTTGATGTTGTTATTATTTGTTTGTCTTTTGGATATACTTGTCATCTGTTTTTTATAATTCAAGTTATCTTTTGTGGGTCTGAATGTGAGAATTTCAACCTCTTCAAACTGAAGTTATCACTCTTTTGATACATCTACTGCATTTGACACTATATATCTTTGGTTCTCTATACTCTGTTTTCCTAGAGTCGAGCAATCAAGTTGTAAAAATATATTCAACTACTCTAATACGAGGTACAAGGAATTCATGATGATAGAAAACAGTTTCTCTAATATATTTCACCAATTATAGTTCTGATTACTTTGGGATGTCACTGTTGTTATGTGTGCTATTGCAGAATATCAAACCTCCTTGCCAATCATACTCATATATATTAGATATTCTTTTCTGTCACATCCTGTATGAGAGTGGTATATTAGGCTGTCAGCACTTTACCATGATCATCATTGTATCATGCAGGGGCAGCTGGGTTCATCTCCAGGAAGTCAGCAAACAGCAGGGGTTGCTCAGTTTTATAGTCCCTCACAACAAGGTGAGACAAATATTGGAGCTCAAGGGAAATTTTCTTCTTATCGACCAGGTTCTGTTTCTATGGGACTGTATGCAGTTCCCAGAGAGAACATATTTCCTGAGAGACCTGGCCAACCTGAATGTCAGTTCTACATGAAGACTGGAGATTGTAAGTTTGGTGCTGTTTGCAGGTTCCATCATCCTAGGGAGAGACTAATTCCGACTCCTAATTGTGTGTTAAATCCATTGGGTCTTCCATTACGTCCAGTAAGTTATTCACCCGATCTGTTTTTTCTCTCTTCTTTTTGATCAACAGTTCATTCATGTTTAGGGTCAGTTTTGCACTTTACTCAGATATGATTTGCACAATAAATATTGCACAAATATTTTCCTTTTAGTCCCTGGTTACCTTGGTCACTAATGCAGTTCTTGGATTTTAGTGCTACTTTTATATATGAAGAATATATGAAGACTTGGGGTCTTCAATATGAATGCTAAACCTTGCACATCATCTTATTCCTCTTTTTTTTACGAACCTGCTAACATGTTAAACGTCCTTTGCAACTTTAACAGGGAGAGCCCTTGTGTGTTTTTTATTCTCGATATGGTATCTGCAAATTTGGGCCAAACTGCAAGTTTGATCATCCCATGGGCCCCGTCACATATGGCCTGTCAGAGTCCTCCATGGCTGATGTCCCGACAGTTCAGCATCTACTGGGATCATCATTAGATCCTCCTACTTTGACATTGCCATCAGAAGAGACTGCCAATGGTAGCTCAGGAGTGTCCATACGAGCACCAACGTCAGACTCTAGGCGAGCTACTTCTGTTGATGAAAATGATGAGGCGGATTCATAGTAATTTTCCTGTTCAAGTATTCACAGGTTTATTTTTCCCTTGAGCTGCCCAAGGTAAGGAAATTATCTGTAATATCCAGTTTCTGTAGCTGGAGATGTACAGTCCTTTCGATGCATTTTTTCTTCTAAAGATTCATCCATTTGGTGGCAAACAAGAATTGCCTATTAAATATGCTTCTTAATGTTATTATGAAATGCTTTTTAAAATTACATGATAATATGCTTCCTCTTGATACAGCATTCTTCTCCAATTTTTTGCCTTATACAGAATAATTCTTTTAATTCTAATAGCTCCAGTGGCTCTATTTCTCTCCAATATCTTCTTATTTTTATATCTTGCGGTTGAATGCTAGATATATTTTTTTTTTCCTTTTCTCTAGTTTTCTTCCGTTAGAGGCATCTCTCTAGGTGGATTATTTTTTATTTTCCTTTGGCATCTAAATGTTGTTTTTAGGTACATGTAGAGCATAGATTAAGTTCTCGACTTGCTCTCAGTTAGTCCTTTTGTAATATCTCTTGCTACAATTTCCATTCCCAGAATGCTCGTATTTGTGTTGAAAAGAGCAGTAAGAGTTCTGTTGGATCTGAAACTAAACACTAAAACATGTGTGACCTTGCAACAACATACGGTAGCAGCTTCCTAGAGAAAAATAATATGCTGTGTGATGAATAAGCTGAAATTATGTCACTTGGAAGTTTGAAAATGCTTAATATGTCATATACATGCATATCCAATCAGTCACATATTCATTAGCTGTGAATACTAACTTGAATTATATATAATAAATATCGCTAATATCAAAGCTTGCAGATTAAACCAGATCATGATTGGTTCGATACTGGCCGTTACGACTTGTTTATAAACTCGCCCGGACCCACACGTAAAGCCAATCAAGACACAGGCAAATAGTCGAGCAGAGGACCTGTTCATATATGGCACCCAAAAAGTTGCACACATGCCCTGGCCACCGTCCGATCACAGATCTCGTGCCTCTCGAAGCAACCGCAGTTTCTCGTACCTCATATCCAACGGTTATAATGTATGTGTGCGTCTCTCTCTCTAATAATAATAAAAAAAAAGGCAGCAGAGCCAACAACGAGAACAGAAGAAAAGCGTGGAGAAAAATAGGAAAAGTGAAACCGCCCGCTCTCACTCTCTCTCGTGCTTATATTCCCACATCACTCACCGTGTTCTATACTAACAGTGTTTATTTCTTTTTGGGGGTGGGATGTCGATGGGGGGACCGGCGGCGGGAATAAGGATGGCGGCGATGGAGGTGGCTATGGCGGTCGTAGTGGTGGTTGGGATGATGACGAGAGGGGTAGGGGAAGTGACGTGGTGCATAGCGAGGAGTGCGGCGGGAACAACGGCGCTGCAGACGGCGCTGGACTACGCGTGCGGGTCCGGGGCGGCGGACTGCACGCCGGTGCAGTCCAGCGGCCTCTGCTACCTCCCCAACTCGCTCGCCGCCCACGCCTCCTACGCCTTCAACAGCTACTACCAGCGCTCCAAGGCCGCCCCCGGCGCCTGCGACTTCGCCGGCACCGCCACCGTCACCATCACCGACCCCAGTCAGTGCTCTCTCCCTGTAGCCATCCTTTCCTCTTTCTTAACTATGACGGATCGAGTACGTGCCTGCCATTTAATCTGCGCCATTGGCTAAAGTTGCACGAATCTCGGCGAGTAGTACGCCTCGATCTGCGTGCTACAGCTGGAAAGGGTTCGAGCGTGCGCACACAATAGATAGTTTGTCCTTCCCCCGTTATCTTGTTTTCCAATCATAATTTCGTATTTTATCTCTTCGAAAAGAAATATAAATCAAAATCTTGTTTGCATTAACTGCATATAATCTCGTTAATGCTTCATGTGAAATAAAAATTGCAAGTTAAAGGCTTTCTGTACCCTAAAAAGCGACCCTATAGTTTCAATCTTCGGAGTGTTGATTTATATTATGGAAGGGATTGTTATATATGATTATATTTCTTGGAAACTAGTAGGTGCATTTTTTTTTCCTTCTTTGTTTTTTAAATTTATTGGGTTTTTTTGGTTGTTTGTCATTTGATAAAAATGATTTGGAGAGGAGATGGATACACATTAGGAAGTGTCGGTGCTGACTTGTTTTGTTGTCTTGTTTGGTTTCAGGTTACGGATCGTGCACATACCCTTCTTCTGCAAGGTATGTGACACGCTTGCTTTTTAAATCCGAAGCAACTCAACTTTTCTTGCAAAGAATGAAAATTTTATTTATATGCATAATCCCGAGATATGGAGGTTAGTTTTGGTTTCATGTTTTGCCAACTTGTGCTCTCTTCATGTTATAGTCGATTAATCCTATACATCATGACCAATTGGTCAGTTTTATCTGTGTTCTAGGTCACGAGCTTGTTTTCGGGATTCTTGGGACTCTAGTTGATGATGATGATGATGATGATGATTGGTCAGCTTAAGGCTTTATAGATGTTGGTTGCCCCTCCACCATGTGTTTGTTTGGCCACCTCAAGCTTTCTTGCATGATCATTCAACCTTGCTCCCATGATGACTATGCATTGATTATCTTTACTATCATCACAAAGATCCATATCCTGATAAGCTGATACTGTAAGCCCATTTAAGATCCAAGAAGCTTATCAGGTCAAGTGAGATTCCTGCATTTATATCTGACAATATCTTATCTTTGATACTGGACCTAAATTTGACCAGAGATTTTGGGTAAATGCTCATTTTGGATTCTCTAAGTTTATCACATTCAGAATCAGGTCCTAGGTGGATCCTGTCAGAAAACACCCCTGATACCTGTAGCAAGTTCATTATTAAATTGGTCTCATGCTTCAATATTTAATTAAAGTTGCAGTGTACTACTTTTTACCTTGTTATAGATGCTTGGAATCACATACTGAGGTGTAACTGACCATATTTACTCTTCCAAGCCTATTTAATACCACTACATCGTTGAGTGAAGTACTTATGTAGGGTTCTTGGGTTGATAGGACAAAAAGAAGTAATTGTTCATAAGGCTGTGTTCGTTACACACTTTCAAGCATGAACTGGTGGCTCAACGATATTTCATGGCATGGATTCAAATACCAATCAATATGGTGTGCATTAACTAATATTTGCCTGTCTGACAAATGAGAATCAGTTTTATTTTTTTATTATTTTTATGGGTGATGTCTGTTAATATAGGTTGGAATACTGCCGGTATATTGATATCCGGTAGATTAATGAAACTGGTAACCAATCAAGATTGAAATCCTTTTCTCATGGTGCTTGAGATCTTTTGAATGGTCTTTTCAGTTAAGAGAAATGCTTGGTGGTGTAGAAATAGTAGTGAGGTTTATGAAGCCTCTGGTAAGATAGTGAATGTCACCTTCAATTACTTGATGCCACATCATTGACAAATGAGATTCAACACATTAGGATCTAGAGAAACTAAGAGGGACATTGGGGAAAAAGAAGGGGGATATGTTGAATTTTTTTGTATTTGATATTAAAAACATAATATCATTGTCTAAACAAATTAATTTAATCAAATTCAAACACTAGAATGGCAGGCTGCTATGCACAGGCATGGGAACTGATTAACAATATTGCAACTAGCAACATCAAAATGTCTTGGATGGTGATCTTGTGCTTTAAAAGTATGGGAAAGTGTAAATTCTTGTTTTTAATTTTTTTTATCAATTGTGGGATCTTTCGGTCTCTTATTTATATTTTATGTCACAACTAAGGCCCTGTCCATGATATTGCTGTTTATGGTCACACTTCCTCAAATCAATGCTGATCCCGTAGGCTAAGAATTTGTATTGTGCCCTGTGGTGAGGCATCCAATGATTTGTCTCGTGGTCCTGAATGATTTGTCTTTGGAAAAAGAAGGAAAGAGGGGCTATAATTTATAAGCCACAGGCTTCCTCATCTCTTTCCACCATCTGCAATCTTTGTATCTTCTTGTTACCACAGTGCAGATGATGGTTATGATTTGCCTATCACACCTTAACAAACAATGATGAAACAAGCAATAGGGTGAAGTAGTCATCGGTATAACTAACAATAAACGACAGACCCAAATGCAAATAATAACGCAAGCCCAATACCAATGAGCTTTGCGCAAATACCCATCTATGGTGAATTAGTCTCAGTATAACTAACAAAAAAAAGTCATGATTCAAATTCATAACATGCTCTTTTACCATGATATTGTTTTAGTTAGGTTGTCAGTTACCACCTTGAAACTTAAAAATTTATAGGAAGTGGACCAACTTACAATTGAACTCTGAAATTGAAACATTTGTTCAACCTGCTGATGCTCAGTCTATGACCGTTCCTGAATCTGTTATATGTCTGGGAAAATATGAACAAATGAAGGTGCTAGAGTTGTAAAGTTGGTTGGAATGTGAGAGGTGCATCTATTTCATACTTCAAACTTGGTAACTAACTCTTATCCTAGATGGGAGTGGTTTTGTCAGCAGCCTGGATAGGTTTAAAATTGGACTTCAGGCAATAATCTAGTTTTGGGGTTGAGAAACTACATGGAATAGGTTGAGACTATCACAAACTCCTTTTCGGGTGCATTTCTAAAATTAATTTTAGTCTGAGGGGGAAGGAGAAAGTCAAATGAACAAAAACTTGAGCATGTTTAATCCTTACATGAATACATAATGTCAATCAAAGAAATACTTCTACTTTATTGTTCACAAATCCATCAACTACATAATAACCTTCTTCTACCGAAGCAACATCTACTTCAAAGACTAAAAAAAAATAGTGATTCCTTCTATACATATCTTACAACATTGGATATCTTAATTGCAGCACTGCAGGAGGCTCAACAAGTACACCAAGAACTAATACTCCCTCCAATACACCAGCAACAACCTCTATACCGCCTTCTACACCAAACTTTGGCAGCACTGATGGTGGTGTTGGTGGGCTGAGTCCTCCAGGGTTTGGCTCAACGGTGCCTAATGCTGATACATCTATTGCTTCTCCTATGTGCCCCCATTTTCTGACCAGTTGCCTTTACTTCATCTCATTGCTAATCTGATGGATTAGGTTAGGCTTTTCAAGTGCACATTATTGTATTTGCCACAATTTTGTTTGAGCACTTTGTGGCAGTTTTTAATTACGATGTGCTGATCTTGCAACTTCCAAATGTTTGTGAGGAAAGAGATGGTGGGTGTAGGCACTGGGATATGGCATCCTCTTCTCCATCTACTGAAAAATAGGGATCTAAATCTAAATGTGCATCCTTTTCATTCTTGTATGTGCTTCATGGGTTTTAGTTGTAGTTACAAGTGTAAAGATGACCTTACTTGCTTATAAGTGGCTTGTCAGTTCCCAAGGTTGTCTCTAACAAGAAGTCCTGGGTTGGCCTGATGCTCAACATGGTGAATGGCTTGGAGCTGCTGTTTTAAAAAATGTGCTGACTCTGTTCTTCATGGCTAAGAACTTGAATTTTTTGACATATGGAGATCTACAATGATGTGCCACAAGAGGACTTCCAAGATTTGAAGAATTGATGATGATCTTTGGTACACCTGAAGCAACTCTTATAATGCATCATTGCATATCTTGCTTTTCAACAAGCACTAGATGTGATTAAATGTGGTGTTGTTTTTGTTGGTACAACATAAAGAAAAAGGTAAGAAAACAAGCACTGGCATCCATATGTTATCTTTTTTGGCCCATGATTTTTGGTCTAGTGTCCTCTACACTGACAAATTATTGAGGGATGTGGAATCAGGTCTTGAAGAGCTTCCAAGTGCTCAAGGGATCATTCTTTGTTGACCATGCTGAAAATAATTACTGAGAAGGAAGTGTGGTGCCTGCAAAGAACTTAAGTTGCATATTAAGAGCCTGGCAACATCATGCTCATATTAATTATTTTCATGTGATCAAATGTTCACAAGATAGCTGATATAGAATTCCAATTCTATGCAAGTTGTCCTACTATAAGACATACACAAGGGTTTTTGGTAGGTTAGCTAGATGATACATCTTGACATCCTTTAGCTATGTAACTGTATATTTCTTTTAGATGGTGTTTGATGAAGCTGAAGAAGAGAGCAAACCTTAACTTTGCTAGTGATCTCTCAGAGCATCCTAATGAGTACGGCAATGCAAGCAAAAGGTCTTCCAAACCAAGGTAAGCTGAGACTAACCTAAGGTTCTCACATTCCTACTGTCATTTCTTTTGCACTGTGATAAGAAAATAAAAATTCTACTTATGTCTCGTGTTCTTTTTGCTGCTTTACAGAGTCAGACTACAAGCTGACTTAATATGCTGCAAGATTTATGTGATGATTTCAGGTTTTACTTCTGAAACCCACTATATATTTTAGACTTCATGTTTCTGCTTGAAAACCTTTCCTCTTAAGGAGTGCATGAATTCTCAGTGAGTAGAAAGAGTGTCTGAGTATTGAATCCTCAGGTCGCAAAGAAACAGTGGGTGGCCATTGAACTGGAATCACTTGACTGGTTTTCTGATTGCTCAATGACTGAAATCATCGTCCTAGATTTTGAAACCACTAAGTGTGACTTAAATCATTGCATGAACAGTTCTTGCATGAAAACAATGACCCAGGCGTTAAATCCACCAATTATTTCTTGACTAGATGGTTGATGCTACGATCATGGAGGACACTTGTATCATTTAATGATCATGTGTGAGGACAATGAAACCAAGTATTTACTTAGTAGTCATAGAAGATCACTATTTTGTTACATATCTTCCCCTGCATGGCATGTGATTGATAACCTGCAACGATTCCTCAAGAACAAAAAGAAGTTCCAAGGGATATTTGGAAGAAGTGCTCAATAGCTTTTGGCTTTATTTCCAAAGAGGAACTCTTGGTCTAGAGTTGGAACATTTGAACATCATATGTGAATTAAAGTGAAAAGATCAAAAGAAAAAGATAATTCCCATCAGTGAGACCATTATGGTAGTAGAGATGAATAACCTTGTTCAGGCATCTGGAATTGACATTTGTTTCTCATGGCTATATATTTCTCAGTGAGGAAGACTAATGCAAATTCCTATTATCGTGCTATGAAAATGAAGATTAAGAGAAATAAGAATTAGCTAATATTTGAATTGTATTGGTATGCAGTCCTCTACGTATGTTAATTCTGACTAATTTGATACAGACCCATCTACTTTTACTTCTTAAGGCATGGTTGATCAAATTGTGGTTTATAGATGACATAGATCTTTGAGCATTATGACAGTAGAGAAGTTACATATTCAACATAAATTTGTCATTTAAGATTTTTTTTAATAATTAACCTTGTTTAAGCATCTAGAGTTGCGATTTGTTTTCCCTTGGCAATAGGTTTCTCGGAGAGGAGTGATACAAATTCCTGTTAACTAAGATTGAGAGAGATTCAAGAATGGTTTCACATCGTCAAGGATCAATAGTTAATATTTGATGCCTAAGTTTCTCAGGTAGCATATCACATGTTGCATGAATCCAGAAAGGGCCCTTGCTAGATTTTGTGCATGATGCAGGGCTCCTCCTTTCTGTCAACTTGTTCCCTTCTGCCAATCAAAGAGAACCCAACAAGCCCCTCCTTTGTCTCACAAGTTGTATCTACCATCCTTTTGATTGCACATGGATGCCTTACAGCCAGTACACCTTCAGCTTTGTGTCAACCAGGATAAAGTCCTTGGATTTGGTATGATAGATTGAGATTTCCATGCCGTCATGATTTGAGGTCAGTGTTTCATGGTCCCATTCATGTCTTGCTCTTCACAAACTTTGCCATAAAAGTTTAAACATGATTGTATTTTGTCTACATCATCTCAGTCTCTTCAGCTCTTTTTCTCTTGAAGTTACTACCATATATATGTATATATGTATATATACATACATATATGTATGTATTTATATGTATATATATATATACATATGTATATGTATATATATGTATATGTACATATATGTATATGTATATATATGTATATGTACGCATGTATATATATATATACATATATATGTGTGTGTGTGTGTTTTAGTTCAAGCTAAAACTACACTTTGTAATTTCATAGGAGTCAAGATGGGGAAAACAAAATGACTGGACATATTATCCTGAAATTGGAGACAAGGATATGGTGACAAATACAAGAATAGCAGGGACAAGTGAGGACTCACATACATGTCTATCATTCTTTTATGAAAGATTCCAACCTCATATATTCTAGTTCCAATGGCCTTTTTTTTCTGTCCCAACCTTCTTTGGAAAAATGTTTTATCTGCATAAGAAAGAAATATTTAAAGTTAATGCTGAATGACAATTATCTCATTGCATTGTAAAACTAGTGTCATGCAAATGAGTAGCTAAATTATTGGAAGGCCAAACTCCTAATGTATTGATGTCACCTTAGAAAGAATTAAGATTAATGTCAGTGTCTCCACAAGCGACAGTCTGTGCGCTATTTAAAGTGAAATATGGATGAAATGGAAAAGGAATTGTGAGCCTCTAATTTCTTTCATCTGGTTGGCAGCTTTTGTTTCTTACAAACCAGAAGAAAAGAAAAGAATGTGGGAAGAAAAGCCATATGCATCAATACCACATGAACTGCTGCCAAAGGAGGACTATAGCAGCCCATTCCTCATTCTTATGAGAAGGACTAGCTTTGGAAAAAAGATATAAAGGGATCTTGGCAAGAACTCAAATCACCACTTTTCTTCATTCCATGGTACAGGGAAGAGGGACATGTCAAGTATATATAGCATTAGGATTGTTAAGTAGTTTTTGAATTTTTTTTAACTTATAATAGATTGCTTAAAGGATAAATTATTTGGAGGATAAGGAATTCAGATTTGAAGACGCTCCTGCTTGATTAAGAAAAGAACCCTAAAAAAATAAGGTTGGTTACTCTATGAATAGTCTATAAATCCTATGCTTTTTAAGGTGTGGAAGAAACATATATATTGCGCATTCTTGAGATTCTTTTAGTAGATTCAGGATTTATGTAAGAGGGTATGCAAAAAGTTTTGAGATTTTAGTGGATGTAAGTAAAAGGTGCTGATTTGATGTTTTATTTTGTTTTCTTTATATTGTTCTTTTTCTAAGTATTTATTGATTTATTCTATTAGGAAATAAAATAGTGCATAAGGAGGGGTAACAAGAGAGGTCATCATTCTCCACACAAGAAACCAGCAAGTAGATGAGTTCAAACAAACCTCACCGTACAACAGAAACTTGACAAGATTGTTCTCTTGATATGAGTCTTCTTCTTGAATAGGATCATTGCTCCTGATAGAGATATTAAAGCAGTACCTCTCATATTGGATGGAGGACAAAAGCATCGCGAGCTTCAGTTCTCCAAGTCAGTGCCCACCACAGATAGTGACATCTTCTTTTGCTAAAGAAGATGTTGGAAAAGTGCTGCTGTCTTCCTCCAACAATTCTTTGTCGCCTAAAGTGGGTCATGCAATGAAGGAAACCTAAGAACTGCCTTGCAAGATCTTTAGACCAAAATAGTGCAGCGTGCTATCCCTTTGGAAAGACAGATGACTAGTGGGCAATGGCACTCAAATTGATGTGTGGGAATGGGAAGGAATGGCCTTCTTCACCACTCTTTGAGGATTCCTGTTGCTGCAACAGCCTCTCTCTTTGTGTTTGCAGACTTAGGTTGTGGAAGAAATCAGAAAAATAATTCTAGAATGTGGTTTCCTTTAGAAGAATAGAAGCTTCTTCATGTTCTTTTCAAGTTTGTGGTCAACAAAAGTGGATAGATTGATTGGAAGCTCAGTTTATTAGTTTTTTTTGTTGAGATTTCTAATTGAATGAACTCAGAGTTAAACTTGTGAAGATTAGCATACATCATTTATCGGTCGATTTCAATATTGCAACATGATATTTTAACTAAAATCTTTTTATCAGATTTTTCATCATCCACAGTCTAATTTGAAATGAAATTTTCATGGAATCATCAACGCTATCTGTTTGAAATGTTAAGATGATATTGTGAGGAATTTATGGTTCTACAATGAATCTGATCATTCTGGATCCATTACATGAATTTTTTCTCTTCATTAAGCTTATTACAACATTAACCTAATAAAAAACCTATCTGATAGAGCCCTGAGGTTATGTTAATGTCCTTTAAGGGGGATGAGACTTCATCTCAAAATTTGTGATATAAGAGAGAGATAGGTCGGATAATAAGTCAAATTAGGCATGAATCATTTCTTGATTTGTGCTTTATAGTTCCGGTTTTATAGGATGTCTACAAAAGATCCTGAAACAAGTGGATGTCATTAAACCTAAGCTAGAAAGAGAGAGCTAGAAAGAGAAAGCTATAGAGGTGCTGAACAAAGTTGGAAGCACAGTTGCATAATCGACACAGTAGCAAAAGACCTATCACCCTTCTCAACCCCCTCCCTGAAACATGCGCATGTCTCTCTCTCTCTCTAAGTAGACCCCACACACAGGAACAAAGCATGCTATAAGTCTCGCTGATGGACTTGCTCTCACCTTTTTCTGTCTCTCCCTCTCTCTCTCTC